TGAAAGACAGCTCAGGTCTTCATCAGGAGCTAAGGTGACACAACAGAACTGCAGAGCCTTACAAAGTGTTGGTGCTGACCTTTAAAGCCCTAAAGAGCCTCAGTCCAGTATATCTGAAGGAGTGTCTCCAACCCCATCGTTCTACCCAGACACTGAGGTCCAGCGCCGAGGGCCTTCTGGCGGTTCCCTCGCTGCGAGAAGCCAAGTTACAGGGAACCAGGCAGAGGGCCTTCTCTGTAGTGGCACCCGTCTTGTGGAACGCCCTCCCACCAGATGTCAAAGAGAAAAACAACTACCAGACTTTTAGAAGACATCTGAAGGCAGCCCTGTTTAGGGAAGCTTTTAATGTTTGATGTATTACGGTATTTTAATATTTTGTTGGAAGCCGCCCAGAGTGGCTGGGGAAGCCCAGTCAGATGGGTGGGGTATAAATTATTATTATTATTATTATTATTACATACTGCACAGATGCATATTTTCCTTCGTTCTTTCATACTGCATGGGTGTTTTGCAATCGGCACAGCTGCTGCAATGAAAAACCTAGTTTTGGGTTTGCTGAGGGGTGGAGGAACAGCCTCTGCAGTGCCTTAAAAAAAATACTAAAAAGGCATTGTGGCAGAGCCAAGGACTGTCCAGGGAAGGACATGATTATTGTTCAGTGCAGTTAGCAAAGCCCCTCGCCAAGACCCCCTCTTTCCGATTTAATGCCTCTTAGCTGAGAAAGGATCCAGCTCAATTCCTCAACTCTTTCTCCATTCTTCTGTTGATACACCCATGCACATAGTACTAATTATTAGGCGTCATAAACAATAATGACAGTCTCAGGTAATATGGCACTGCCTATTGATTTATCCTTTCGACAAGACATAAGGGACGGTCCTGAGATGCAGGCTCACAAAAAGGGCTTTCCTTACTGTTGGCAACCACAAAATTTGTGCGTGCACCAAGGGCCATCTGTCAAAGCCAGTAACAGATGCTCTGTGCACATACAAACCACATTTTTAGTTGTGATGCTTTCAGCTATACGGCTAAGGAAAAAGATATTAGGGAACTTCTAAGAGAGGAAAAGGTCACTTCATTTGTTCAAGGTATAGAAATACGTAACTAAGCATGTTAAGCTTTTAATGACTATATATATGACATACTCCTTTTAAGGGAGCCATTTGCAAAAATTATACAGGACAACAGGAGAAATACTATGTTTAATCCTCCATGTACAATATTATCATATTCTAGATTGTTTAGCAAGATTATTAAAACAGTAGCCTTATCATCGGGCCGCCAAATTCTAGCTAAGCATATAAATTAAATGGTTCAGAACAAACAGGCATACATAATGTTCCACCAAAGTAAACATGAGTCAAGTGCTCAGATCTTATGATCATCAATCAGGTCAATTAATCTTGGCAGGAATACATAACGAAGGTCATACAGGAATGAATTTCCATTTCAATGGAACTTCCAAGCAAGGGAGTTCAATTGGCACTGCAACCTTAGAAAGCAGTTCAAACACCATGTAAGCAGTGTCCCTTTACTTTTAAATCTGTTCAGCTCCTATGGAACCAACCAAGGCCTAACTCACGCAAGCCACAAATATGTGCAGTGGTTTGTAATGCTACCATGTAGGCACTGCTCAGTAGAGGATGGGAAGCTGTTCATGAGAAGCTGTTTCTCCACACGGTTCGGTGGATTTCAGCCAAACAGAACTCACATAGATAGCATAGAACATGGCGCAGTACCCCACACATCAGTTGCATTAGAACCAAACCTCAGAATACAACCAGAATCAAGTGAAAGCAACTTCTTCTAGAACAGTCCTGGTATATTCCCAGAACCAAAAACCAAGAACTGCGATTCCAATTTTTAAAGCTCGTGCATGGTATAATGTATGATGCCATACACTTGTAATATCCCTGGGAACAGAGACTACGGAGCCCACTGGTGCCAAATGCCCACGTTTTCAGTTGATGGCAGACAACCAGCACCAATGTCAAATTGCATCAGTTTACAGCAAAGGTGTTGTGCTCATGCTGATGCCGTGAACTAAATTTACCCCAAAAGAGCATTTAGGAATTCAAGCTACTGTTCAGTACATTACCACCTCATCACAGGCTGATGCAGCAGAAGAAATCAGCACTAGCTGATTAAGAACGGTGGT